ATTTGAACTTCTAAATTTTTTATTGCAGATGTGGTTTTTATATTATTTCTCCTTATTTCTTCTTGAAATTGAGAAGTATGGGCATCCATCTGTTTAATAGTTACCTTCCATTATGCTTTTTGTGGAGCTTGCTACTGCTGATCTTTCGAGGAGAAGTTAGGATGATTCTTCCACCCAGGATTATAGGTGTTAGAATACAAATTATTCTGCTTAAAAAATTTTATCTCCTCAATTTGTTGTGGAGTTGTAAGATAATGGACAGTCGTGTATGGTCCACTACAAATTTCACAACCTGCCTTGTATGCTTATTGAACCTGAACTACCTGTTGAGTACCCATGTTCATTGCTTTTAGCTTTTTCTCCACTTCTGCAACAATAACCTCTTCAATTTTTAGTTTCTTGTTAACTTCTAACTTATGATCAATCACCCCCTCTGGTTTACTTACAACCCTATCATACAGCTCCAGATGCTCCTTTACAACATTGGCTTCAATAATCTTCTTCACACCAGTGGTTGTTGTAAAGTTGGATGAGCCACCAGTTGCTGTATCAATAAGCTGCTATGTCTTCATTCGAAGGCCATTCACAAACATCTGCATTTGCTCAGTTTGATCCATATTGTGAGTGAGACAAACTACCAATAACCTCTTAAATGTCTTGTAAGCATCACCTAGTGACTCTCCTTCTCTCTGCTTAAAATTCACAATTTCATATCTTTTGGAATTGTAAACAGAATCAGGAAAGTATTTGTCAAGAAAGATATTCTCCATCTCTTCCCAAGTATTAATACTCTCAGTAGGTAATGAATAGAACCACTCTTCAGCATCTTCAGATAGGGTAAACTGAAATATTCTTAGTTTCTTTGCTTCATCTGTATGCCCATCAATCTTCAACGTGGTACTCATGGTCAAAAATCTCTGCAAGTGTTTATTGGCATCTTCATTGACCTTTCCAGTGAAAGATCTTCTCTCAAGTTGAGTGATTATGCTCAGATGCATTTGAAAATTTGGCACATTCACCAGATGGTTTACAACTGTCAACCTTCCACTCGGTGCATTTGCCCCACCATAATCACCAAGAAGTCTCTCTGGTGGATCTTCAACCATTGGTTTTTTCTTTTTAGACTTTTAACCTGAATGATCTGATGAACCTTTTGATTCCAGTCTAACTAGCCGAGCTTGTCTGTGCCTTGCGTGAAAAGTCCTTTCAATTTATGCATCAACAGGAAATTAAGCTGAGGGTTTTCCTCGCATGCAAAGGTTAGAAAAAAATCAAAAATAACAAAAAAAACTTAAAAATCATAGAAAAGAAATTTTAGTTGCATAGCAACAAAGTTCTAATTAAACTACAATTGAACTTAATAATTTTGCACTCCCCGGTGAAACAAACGGCGAAATATCATCAAATAATGAAGTCACCATCGAACGTCTTTTATCCCGCATGGAGGGAAAGGTGAACATCGAGAAAACATGAGAAGGGAGAAGTCACGGTCTTGCGAACGAGAGATCGGGTAAGGGAGTTTGTTACGCGAGGGGAAGATATTAGCATCCCGCATGCCCGTAGTACTCTACAGTATCCACTATTGTTATCTATCTTATGGGTGTGTCTAATCTATGTCTACTGAATACTTCTGAGGAAGAATGCATGCAAAAGAAATGCGGGGAAAAGAAGGAAGTATTTACAAATTTTGCTCGGTTAGGCCACGTGACATGTTGCCTACGTTTCCCTTTCGTGTAGTCAGAGCACCGTAGATCATCTCACATGTTTTTGTTTGTTTTGTGTTTTTTATGGGTGACAAACCCTTGTGAAAACGGTTTTGAGTTGCGCCCTCAAGGCAAGATGCCAAGTTTTATTGGTTTATGTTTTGTTACCTTAAAAAAGGGTTTAAGTATGATTAAGATGTTCTATGGTTTGCCAAGAAAAAGAAGGTTTTAGTTTTAATGCACATGCAAAAGAGGGAAGAAAAATTCTAAAAGGGAAATGTCTACTTGTGTTAGCATACCAAAAACCTAGGGGTGATGATAACTATCCTATAAGTAAGATGCAAATATCAAAGTCATTATCACAATTCTTCTAATTGAGTGACATAATTGATAATTAAAAGAATAACAATAAATCCATAGGGGAGTATGCAAAGATCGAAGTCGTCATCTCAATTATAATTGAGTGACATCATCGATCATTAAAAAAATAAATCCATAAAATCCTATGGAGGGCATGCAAAGGCCGAAGTCGTTATCTCAATGCTAATTGAGTAACATCATCGACCGTCAAAATATGAAAGCAGACACAAGCACAATTAGCAAACAAGTGGGGGAATGCCTGCTACAGGTCTTTAAACAAAGACTTCGAGTGCACACTCTTTATTTCCTACTTCTCATGATATATAGAAAGAAGTAAAGAAATGCGATAAAATGCGGGAAAATGTAAAAGCAATAGCTGCGACTACCAAAAGCAAGCGGATTTCCAAAAGCGGATGAAAGCAATAGAGAAGAAAGGAGTATGCATCGAGCAAGCTTCACCAAGAAACAGACAAAGTGAGAAACGATATCCAACTAAGATAAAAACACACGCATGTTGCAAATACAACGCGCAATCAGAAGTTCCTGCACAAAGTATCACAAAATATCACATGCATCCAAATAACAAATAATATAATATGAATTTCTAATGACGATGAGAAATGAGGCATGTCGCATCGGAAGCGAGCATAATCCGTATGTTTTGATCACGTAACAACTCTTATGTTACATGATCTAAAGCACCAAAATATACCTTGCACAAAGAACAAACGCGTCAAAAGATAACAAGGCAAAACAATATGAAAACTACGTGAGAATTAATTCGACAATTAACAAATGAAATGCAACAAGAAAGCATGTATCAATTGATAATTATGACATTAAAATTTTGCACTAAGAAGTATAAAAAAATGCAGTAAAAACTGCATTAGAAAATTCTTCATTACGGTGTAAAATATGAACAAAAAAACTAAAAGAAAAAGTATTTTTTATTAGTTCTTTATGTGAGAAAAATTCTATCAAAAAATAATAAATTAATTCCTAAAATCAACTAATAAGATCTAACAAGTTTTATTGATTTTACAACTTTGTCATAGGAAAAATTAACAAAGAAAAAGTCTTAAATCTAACAAAGAATTAGTAAGCTCAGGGGGTGAAAAGCCTAAACAGACTCTATGAAGAAGAAATTTCGGCGATGGCCTAGTCTTTTGGCCCATGGAGTGTGTTTTTGTTATACAAGCTTCAGGTTGTATCAAAATCATGGCCACGGGCCTGATGCAGGGGTATGAATAACGAAGCCCACATGCATTGGATTCAATCCACTCATCCAATTCAACTTTACATCACTATTTTTATTTTATCCAGCCCATTAATCAAATATTAAAACAAAAATTAAAAAAAGAAAAAAGAATGAGACAAGTGAAACAGTGTCGTATTGAGGCTAGGGTTATTTGTTGTTACGACCATTCAGATTCAATTCACTCAACCCCTCTCTCCCTATTTCAGGTAGTGATTTCCGGCGAGCCTTCCGTCGCGAGCACCACCTCTAAACAACATGAATCACCCTTGTTCTAAAACATACCTGCTGCTCTGGATCCAAACTCAGCATCGATTTCTCATAAACCTCTCCCATGGCCGGATTGACGAAGAAAACCTAGGAACCCTAATCTTCAAAACAACGTGTATTTCAGCCAAGTTCTATGATTCGAGCTCTATCGTCACTTATGGACATCAATGTGAGTCAGAGCGTTCAAGATTTAGAGAGAAGCACACATAAACGAACCTGATTGATGCCTCTGACGTTCTGACACAATGGTGAATCGTCTCCGATAGAGCTTCAATGCTCATGTACTTTCCTTTCTCTTTTCGTTTTCTGTTGCTTCTCTTTTACTCGTCTTCGTCTTCTTCTATGTGTGCGCCATTTTGTGATGTCGTTGTTCGCCTTTGCATGCAGATTTTTGTTACCGCGTGCATTGATGAGAGCAAGTTAAAGATGAGAGTGCAATGATTCAGTTGTTTCAGAAGGAGATAAGTGATTCATAGGGTGAGGAAGATGAACATTGAGACCGAAGGTGAATGAAGAGTGTGGTTCAGAGGGAAGAAAGATAGATAAAGGTGATAAATGAACGTGAGAATTGGGGAGGGAGAAGGTTGAAAGAATGGAGGTTGAAGTGGTGAAGGTTGAAGGGAATGTGGAATCGTGATAATGGTGTGTGGGAGAAGGTTGAAAGAATGGAGGTTGGTTCAGAGAAGGTTGAGATGAAGAATGGTGGTGAATTCTCCAGAGAAAAAGAAAAAATGGAGCGTGTGTCCAATTTGAGAGGGAAAGTTCAGTTTATGTATCTGGAGATGACAGTTAGAAAATAAAGGATTCTTAGTCATAGGATGGTTGAATTCAGTTATGAGATGGAGAGAGGCGATTGAAACAACTGAAGGTTAGTTATGATTTAGCTTCTGTTAGGAACCGTGAGTTGAAATAAAGTGCAAGTTAGTTAAAAAATTTGTTAGTCTAAAATCTATTGGATGAGCTAGCAATGGTTAGTTATTTGGATTTCTGTTATGGTTCAGTTGTTAGTTAAGTGAACTATTTCTGTTTATTTTATTTTTCTGTCATGAATGGTTTATACGAATGCAAGGCAACTTATAGCTTGCTTTTGTTGAATTGGTTTTACCAATGCTGATTGACTAATTGTAGTAGGGTTTGGTTAATGTGTGGGCTGTTTCAAAGAATGTTAAAATCAACTTTGGATTGTTTATTGGACTGGACTAATTTAACTGTGAAATCTCGGTTATTGCGGGTTTGCTCTTGAACTATTGAACTGGATTTGATGTTTGGATTTGTTTAATTTATTTTCTGTAGGATGACATGGGGAACTGATGGGGTAGGCTGGCTTATTGATTAATTACAAACGCTGAGTTTTTTCTTTGTGATAATGGATAGTAGACTGTTTCGGTATTTTTCACAGGGCTATGTGTGAATTAATGGTTAATGTTTGGACATGGTTCATGGTGTGATCTTGCGGGTAGTTTAGGCGAGGCCAAGCAATGCGCTTGTAATTGCTTTGGCGCAACACAATATGGTTTGAAGCTTGAATAATGAATTAAAAAGATGGTGTTCATTGAGTTTTGGTAGAGAAGATGAAAGATGAAGTTTAGCATTGGTTTAGACTTTAGGACCTTTAAGTGTTTGTGTAATTTTGTCACTTTGTAATCTTGTAAATTCTTGACTTCCATGACAAGTTCTTAAGTGTCCCAAACATTCTTTTTTTTGTCTAAGCTTCAAGTCCTTTACTTTTTGTCTTTTAATTGCAACCTTGGTGGAATCTTGGAAATTGGAAACATGACATGATACAATAGTGGAGATTTTGTAATGAATTTGTGTATGTATCTCTTTTTTTTGGAAAATTCTATGAGACCTTTTTCCAACATTTAGCTCTATGTTCAACCATGTGAAACCCTAAATCCATGTGCCTTGATCCAATTCAAAACTTATTGATTAATGATGCATGACGTGCAAAATGACCTAATGGAAGGACAATGCATACAAAGAGAATGAAATGCGTAAGCCAGATGATTTTGACAAAAGGGTAGGACAAATTTGGGGTATGACACCTGGCAACAACGCCAAAAACTTGATTGTCAAAAAATAGAAAGTTTACTATTTTGCCAATGTAGTAATAATGGGAAATCCCAAAGTATCGATCTCAAGGACTGCGTACAATTATCGAGTTCAATTCATGTTTAATTAAATAAAAACTTAATCTGGGGTTTTAGTTTTGAAAATTGTCACTTAACCAATAGTAGAAAATATAAATTGGCTTTTCAGAAATATGAGGAGCATGCTAGGGGTAAGTGTGTGATTTGCCCTGTAACAACCTTGAATCATGATATCTTTAACAAGTTCATAATACCAATTACCAGCCCTTTAGAGTATTTTCCCCTAAGTCCTTAGTGGGAAAACCTTTTAAAATTCATCCTAAGTCCTTAGAGAGTTACAATTAAATCAAGCATTTATTTTATGAAGAGTTAACCGGTCACTATAGGGTATCCCTAGTCCTAGGTGATATCTAATATAGCCTAGTCGTACAAAAATCTTAGCAACCACAGTCTAGCTGGTTGTTAATTGGAAATCAATCCTAATTGGTCCGATCAGGAAAGCATGATGACATTGCACGATTAAATTGAATAATAAAAACCATAGAATTGATAAAATCATAAAGCTAAAGTCATTACAGATTCAAATAACAGACACCCCCTAGCATTGTGGGGTTTAGCCTCTCATAGTATTAAAAAGAAAAGCAATACTAAAATTAGGCATTACAAAAGGTATGGATTCTTCGATCTTCAATTGCTATCGCTCATGAAGGAATCTCCGTCTCTAAATATCTTGAAAGAATCAATCTTTACCGTTCCTAATCTTCTCCAGTCAAAAGTGTCGTCCAGGTCATCAAAACTTCCTCATGTAATGAAAATATTGTGTCCCCTGTCCGAAAAGTCAAAAACGCCTTTTGCGGTCACACTTAGGGAAATATAAACAAAATCAGAAATCATCAATGGACAGACCAACACGGCCCGTGTCAGGTGACACGGGTGGCCGTGTTGGTCACCAATCAACATTCAAAAACTTCAACTCCCAGGATGGCTGACACGGTCCGTGTCACTTGACACGGGCGCCCGTGTTAAGAATTTGATTTTTGTCCTTTGATTCAGTCCTCTGCCTGACACGGGTGGCTGTGTCAGACTACTGTAACTTGTTGAAAACTTCTTTAAAACTCCCGATTTCTTGACTCTTCTCCTCCTGAGTCCCTTGGATCTTTCACCTACACCTGAAACAGTAGCAACAACCAATTGAAGCATAAAATAGGAAATCACTTGAAATAAACTTACAAAAACATAAAATACAAAAAAAAACTTAAGAAATATGAAATCATTCAGAGAGAAGTAAAATAGGACACAAAATGATGCATAATACCTGGATTATCATCAGACAAGTAACAAAAACATGATGAAAATGGTGACCGATCAGTATCATTGGGGTTTCGGGAGACGCTTGAATTGAATCATGTGTTTCTTTGTTGACAAGAGTTTATGAGATGTTATTTGCTTTGAAATTGTTTTAATAATCCTAACCTTTTTATGACAAGGATTAAATGTGTTATTGAAGGAATTTAACATTGGAGTTATTTGAGTTATGTTTTCCGTTGCGAAGTTCAAAGTTTGTGTTGATTATTTATAAAGAAATAATTGTTTGAATTTGAGAATCCGTGTTACAGAGCAAGATGTTTTATATGATGCTTTTATGAAGATGTGACACCCTTGATGGTGATTTTATTTGATTTAATTTCGTAAAATATATGCGAAACGTATGTGGGTTTAGAAGGGTGTTACATAATACCTCCTTAATTCAGATATGCATATCTAAACAAACCAAATATTTCACTTTAAGGGGGTTTTCGGATATGCATATCTAAAATAACCCAATATTTCATTTTAGAGGGCTTTCAAATATGCATATCTGATTAATTCTTTAATTAAAATACAGGTGGTTTTCGGATATGCATGTCCGAATCGTGTTAATATACACAAAATAAAGAAACAAAATATATTTTTCCCATTTCCATCTATATTTCAACTCTCTCTCTCTATTATATGTCTCTATTCCAACTCTCTTTTTGTTTCAATCTTTGAGGAATACTTTCAACTCATTTCAAGAACAAACTACATCTTCAGAAGGACCACTGCGAGTGTGATTTACGGTGTTACTTTTTGTTCTTTGTTGGCACGTTCGTTTTATGGACAAGATTGCAACCTACATGGATGTGTCATATCTCCAGTACTTCATGGATTTGGATACAGTTGGGGAGTGGAACTGGGGGGATGGCTGTTTGGTATACCTATAACAAAAGCTGAATGAAACTTCTAAATGGAGGATGAGGCAGCTTACAGGCTCTTGCACACTGCTCATGGTACCTTTCATTCCAACTATTACATTTAATTTGCTATTAATAATTTTTTCTTACATATGTCTTATTCATTTTCAGGGATGGATCATTTCTCACTTCCACCACATTCATGGTTTCAATTATGAGCCAGATTATATTGAGGAGATGCCGAGGGCTTCCAGATATATCCTCCACAGAGGAAATCATGTCGTGCCACCGTTTCAGATGTATCTTGATCAGACTGTTCATGATGATATCATCTGGACGCCTTTTGAGGATCACAGGGAGGTTGTCTTATTCGACCTCATCTCATTATACTCAGGATGGTTGGCATGTGGGATGAACACTATGGTCATGTATCTTCTAGAGCGACACACCCGACTGTTTAGCTATGTACACACCATACCCAGATCTCCCTTTCAGGCTGCTCCTGACACCATTATTCACCGAGAGCTCGATGTCATCTTCCATGATTAGGAAAATCATATGGTGCCATAGGAGGCTCTAATGATGCAGACATCCATCATTTGGAATTGTGTAGATAGATATGTCACATGGTTCTACGCAATGCCACACCCTATTATGACACTTAATGTTCCTAAACATCCACCTAGGTCAGCTCATGAGAAGATATTGGAGAATCATCAAGCCCAGGATTACCATGCCACTAATGTCTTGCCGATCTGTCAGTGGATACATTTGATTGGGCATGAGGCTTTATACTTAGGGATCATTGAGAGGTGACGTCGCGAGGTTGTGGTAATCATAGAGAGGATGGTTAGGGAGGCATCTCTTGCAGTAAGTTACAGGAGGCAGAGGAGGGGCCATGGGGTTAGGATTAGGCATACTCAGTAGACTATGCCCTTCCTTTATTTACCGATGTATTTACTTCACATTATGTACTTTCTAAATAATTTATGTACTAATTTTTGGTATTTATGAACAATTTATATTCGTATCATTTTAGGTCTTTGGTATTTGACTATTATTTAAACAAATTACGTATCAAATATTTGACATTTATTAGGTACCACTTCAATGTTTATTAGGTACCCAGGGTTTCAGAGATGCATATCTGAACAAACCCTTAAATCCATTTCCAGGGGGGTTTCAGAGATACATATCCGAAAATATTACTGCATGTTTATTAACGTGTAAACAGGGGGTTATCGGATATGCATATCCGAAACCCCCCTGAAAATGAATTTAAGGGTTCATTCGAATATGCATATCTGAATGGTATTTTGGGATTTTCAGAGTTATTTTTCACATATATAAGGGTGGCAAAAAAATCCCCTTAACTTTTATCTTCTTTCGCTTTTGATAGCCTCGCCCCACTTGTACCCTCTTTAATTTTGTAACACTTCTAAATTTTGTTGCCATTGAGCCACTTCAAAATCACATGATTACAGAGTAGCAATTTTTTAATTAAAAAAAACTGTAACAAGATTATTCAACATCAACAATACACTTCAACTGGTCTATGATTTATCTTAAAGGCATTTGTCTAAAATATTTAGTGAGAGAAAGTTAAATAAAACTTTAGAGAGAGTGTGTGAGAGATGAAAGTGTCAAAAGACTATTTTGGATGCTTTGAAATGAGAAATGAGACCTCTATTTATAGGCAAAAGACTAACTTAAAAAGGAATTTACATTTAACATATTTTAATGTTAGCTAATTGAGTAGAGCAAGTTATGAATCGATTAGATTATGCAAATATACAGTTGTAAGTTCCCAAAATGAAAAGTTAAGATATATAGCCATTTCACGTAATCAAGGCGCGTATAAACTAGCTTGTACTTAAGTTTATGCATTTATAATCGATTGGGCATATGTTCTAATCGATTAGAAAAGTCAAATTTTTTCCTATGGCTTATTTGACTGCTCCTAATTGTAAGAACAAGAAGTGTTTCTACATCTGGCCTTGAGATTTTGATGATAACTTTACATGTTGTCTTAGAGAACAAATGTGTACACTAATGGTTTTGTTCTAGTGTGTATCTTATGCTATAATGTTATGATTCTGGTACAAGGTATGTGACATCATCAGGTTATGAACATACACTACTGGAAGAAAACATGTGGTTACGTGTTACAATGAAAGTCAATATTCTGGAATCTATCTTCTGCAATATGTCTAAGGAACGTTAGTACAAGAAGTTCTGATTATGACTTTGTGGTTAGCTTTGGAGGCCTTCTAAAGCCTTACTTCTATGTGTTACAAGTTCTGAAGATTATGAAGATAAGTTTCTGCTGAACAAGTTCTGATGATCTGAATAAAGTCAAGTTCT